CAAGAGAACAATGCAACCAACCATCATACTATTGTCTGTTACTTTCAGACAATCTACTGTATACCAAAATATGGAATGTAATATGAGTTATCAAATTCACTGATTAATTAATGTTAATATATAATAATGTGATAATATAATCTCTAGATAAGACCAATCAATTTAAAAAAGCGTGAACTCATAAAGTTTTCAAACTCATGTTAATGGAAGCGGATTTCCACTTGCATACTTTCTTATCGAAAACCACCAACAACGTAAATGAAAAAGGGAACAGGAGAGGAAACACACATTTCTTCAAATCAGGTGATAATAACAGACAAGGATATAGCACAAATACAGTAACTACACGCTTCACTCGGCAAGAAATCAAAAAGGAGCAATGAAAAGGTATATATATTTTTATAAGGAAATTTTCACTTAAGTGCTAGGATCTAAAAGATTTAATAATAAAGTTTTTTTTTTTTAGTTCAGTCATGAACACTTTATTGTTCACGTCCTTGCTTCTCATGAAGTTGATAATTTTTATAGCCTGTAACTTTTTTATGATCATAAAGAAGTACTAATCGCAAAGATGCAGGCAGATTCATTTATCACGAAGATGCTGGCCAATTTTACTCTCATGAAGATGCAAGCCATTTTATCACAAAGATGCCAGCCAATTTTAATGGCTAAAGTTATAGAAAAAAACCTCGACATAGTTACTTTATTAAACTTTTTATTTATTACAATATTTTTACAGAGTTAAAAGTTTCTGGTTTATATAAGTTTAATAGAAACCTATATAAAGGGTTATTGTCGCTAGAAAGGGCAGTTTTCTTTTTAGTTAGCTAATACCTTTCGTTAATTCTTATAAAACTTTTCTCTTTTTCAACTTCAATAGTAATAAATAATGCATTGAATACCTATCGTCCATTAAAAATAATACCCACGCCTATGTTAGCAGCCCTTTATTAAATTGGTGTTATGTAAGGAAGCTCTTCTAGGTCGCAACACTGGCCAGTTTAATTGCCATGAAAAGCTTGCAATTTACTATTGCGAAGAGGCTAGTAACATTTTCTACAAAACTCAAGATAAACAGTTGAAGGGATCTCCTATTAAATTCCAAAAGGCAAAACATTACCGTGAATCTGCCGCAGTAGAAATCAGATTCTTGAGAATATTCATTTTTCCTTCTTTCGCTATATAGTAAGTATACCGTTCATGTACAGTATGTATATTTATATATTTTTATATTATATACTAATTTAGTCTGGTTTTTTTTCCACAGTTGTCGAAAGTTTTATTCATAAAATTATGTCTATTGAAGAGTTAAAGGTCGACCCGAACATCGCATTTTGTTA